ATATTTATTTAGTTCAACTATTAAGAATATAATATAATTATAATTAATTCAGTCGATTTTTATATTTTGTGTGTATGGTTGTATTTTTAAATCTATTTGTTTTTAATTTCAAATTAAAAAATAATTATTTTTTGATAAATATATTGTGTAGTGTATTAAATCAAAATATGTATCAATTAATGTCTTTTTTAAAAACATAATTGGTATTTAGATAAAGGAAAAGCGTTCTTTTATAAGATGTTTTGTGTGGAGTACATTTCTAAAAATATTACTTGCTCTCTTTAACTTTAATAAACTTAATTTTTAATTTGAGGTATTTGAATTTAATTGTTGATTTTTTGATTTTAGGATGTCATTTAATAAGTTTATTTATATTTTACCATTATTTTAAAGATATATATTAAAGAAGAAATCTTAGTTAAGTAGTATTTAGTTAGAGATAAATATGAAATTTTATTAATAAATTATTTTATCTCTATTTTAATTACTATAATTTAATTTTTTAAACATTAATTTCATAAACAAATTTAAATAATAATAAAAAATTTTATCAAATCAAATAAAACTACTAAATAAAAACTATATAAAAGAAAAAAATCAATTGTTAATTTTCCATGTAATCTCTCCATTCATTTTTTTGTAAATCTAGTTTTTTTGTCATCCAATCAAATAGAGATAGAATAATTAATTAATAAAATTTTATATTTATCTCTAATTAGATATGACTTAAATAAGATGTCTTATTGAACTTGGTCCCGTGGGCCAAGTGGCTTTGGCTAAGTTGCTTTGGCCACTCTTGTAAGGTTCATGTTCCCCTCTTCAAGGGCAACGGTTCGAGCCGGCCCCATGACAAAATGTTAAAAATAAATAAATAAAAATAAGACTTCTTATTTTGTATAAATTGTAATTGTCTTTCAAAATTAAGGTAAAATAAGAATAAACATATTAAATAATCTCTTAAAAAGGAAAAGTAGAAAATTAAATTTGAACACCTTAAATAAGAAATTAGACTTATTAACAATGAATAGATGAATTATTTTATTAAATTTTTATAAAAATTATTGTCCAAAAAATTTAAAATTTAAAATTAAATAACTAGGTTCATACCCCGTTATTGCATACGCCTACTTGAACATTCCATATTATCTCCTGCTATATAGAAAATGTGATCAAGAATAAATGGAAGACTTTTACCCGGATGTGCTTCACGCCACCTTCCCAAATGTCTCTATCTCTCTTTTTCTGTTATGGACTTTTAAGTTTTGTATTCTAACTTTTCCACAACGCTGTATATACTAGGCAGTAATGGATCTCTCCTGGTTGAGTCATATACTAAAATAAAAATATCTAGTTTTAAATTAATGGAGGAAAAATGTAAACTCACTTTTGAAATATTATATGTCAAGCATTCAAGAAGAATTAGCGTAAAGTGCCCAACTGTAAGCCTGGACTAGGACTTCAGTATTATACTACAACACTCCTAAAAACAGCCCCATAGAATACTTCTCTCAATTTTTTTAAACTCATTCTATAAAAATGGAGGGGAATAACAAATTATTTATTTATTGATGAAAGACAACTACATAATACGATTGCCTTAATTAACACACACAAACTAAACATAAAGCACATTAGAGATGGAAGAAATAAACTCTTTATTCTAATAATACTACTAGGCATTGAGAAAATGGAAGATTAGGTAACCTAATATTAAAAATATCAAAATATCTAATCACAATCATTTAAATATTACTGTAAATTTATAATACTAGTAGATATTGAGAAAAGGGAATAGTGTTTAAACATATGAAATATTACTATAAAGTAATTATTTTTAATACACTTAAATATTATATATATTTGATATTGTATGAAAATTTTTATTTATATATTTATTTATTTTTTTTTAAATTTCGATGCTCTTCATGTGTCATATCTAAAATTTTTAAAAAATAAGGTACAGGGCCGCACTTCACATGGTGTAATTGAGATAATCCTTCTATTTAATTAGCTCTGTTTTTGCCTTTATAACAATTGTTTTTAATCCTTAGTTGCAGATGTTTCTATGGGCATGGTATACATTTGTAATTAGTGCTATAGGTTATACTTCAATTTTAGGCATTAGTGTCATGATACACAAATATATGATGTAATCTTTTTTTACTTTTCAATGCAAATCTCAATTTTTCATTAAAAAAATACTATTCCCTAATGAAAGACACAACATTGAGAAATTCATTTTTATATAGAAATAGTCATGACATTAAAGAGCAAACCCTGTTTTATTAAGCTTGTTTGTTGTCAAATTAACCCACATAACAAGATCAAACTACATATATGGAAAAAATGTTTTATTGCAAATAGAATGAATGAAATGGCTAAATTTTTATGGTTCCTGTAACTTAATATCTTCTTCTTTTTTTTTTTGGTGATTTTTCCATATTTGAGAAGACATCTATTATGGTATTGAGGAAGGTTATACTTATATTATTTTATCAACAAAAATGATCACCATATAATTGTTAATAAACATCAAAAAGTACGTACAAACTATAGTAGAGAAGAAATGAAGCAAAGTCAAGATGCTTACCAGAAACAAAACTTCATAGAAAGGAACCCTAGTGTAGAAGACCAATGAAGTTGTTTAATCTAAAATGATCAATAGCGGGAGTCATTGTAGTATTGAATTCTTTGCTTAGCATCGTTTTTAAATTCGAATTTGGTAACCCATTGGACTCGCCAGCCATTGATTACCTCACCAGCTCGGATGGGACCTGAACATGTTTTTTCCACACCCCATTGCAGACGCCTATATGAAATTTCCATTTTCCTTTTCCTTTCTTTTCAGTTGTTTTCAATGAATTGTTTTGTATTTAATTATTCTTGACTTTTCAACCTTTTGTTCTAATATTTTTTATATGCGTTACTGTAAGCAATAACGTCACTACTCTATATATAGCTCATATTCTGCGTAGATTATAAATAAAAGCTTATTTAAATTAATATATATTGCATAATTTAAAAATATATAAGATAGAATGTAAATTTCATAATTTTTCTTTTTTCGTCTGCAAATTTCAAAAAAGTATAAGCAACAAACCATGTGAACATCGATTTAAACATTAGAAGAGTTTGAGCTTCATCCACTAATTACTTTTACCACTTACTTCTCCTATAGCTCCATTAGATGAGACCTAACGTGCATTTTTTCACCCCATTGGATATGGTTACTATAATTCTGTTTTTCACTTTGAAATTTCTTTATCTTTCTTTTTTGTTATGGAGTTATTAATTTTTGTAAAATAGATACTTGACATGCGTTTTCCACATCCCATTGCATACGCCCACATGAAATTTCCATTTTCCATTTCCTTTGCTTTCAATTGTTTTCTATGAATTGGGTGTTGGGTGTAAAAGACCTTAAACTAATTAACTTATCTCTATTGGGTAAATGGTGGGGTAAGCTAGCAGAAGGAAAAGAGAGTCTATGGTTCAAAATAATAAAAGCAAAATATGGTAGAGGAAATGATTATTGGTTGAACTGGGTTAGGGAAGGTAGAGGAGTAGGATCAAATCGGTGGAAGGATATATGCAAGTTAGATGTGTTAGTAGAGGGAAACAGTGGGTGGCTAACAGATGGTTTCGAGTTTGTAGTTGGGGAAGGAAAAAGTGTGAGTTTCTGGAGGGATAGATGGCTAGATGTCGGTGAACTTGCTAATGTTTTTCCTAGATTGTTTTTAATCTCAACAGAGAAAGACAAATCCATCCACCAAATGGGATTGTGGGAACAAGACAAATGGAATTGGCATTTCAATTGGAGGTGACAGTTGTATCCATGGGCGACAGAAGACGTCCAAAAACTTGTAAGCTTGCTGCAAAATATACAAGTCCAAATTGGAGTTGAAGACTCTTGGAAGTGGAAGCACTGTTCAAGCGGAGTTTACTCCTCCAAGTCAGGCTATCTTTTACTTGAAGACAATCAACCAGCACCTAATAAAAGGACATTCAAGAGGGTATGGAACACTCAAATCCCTCGTAAAGTATGTGGGTTTCCATAGCAAGCAATATTGGATAAAATCTCAACCAGAGCAAACCTTTTCAAACGAGGAGTTCTCAAAGATGTCAATGAAACTTTATGCAGCATCTGTAATGAGCATGAGGAAGATAGAGACCACCTCTTTTTACACTGTAAAGTTGCTTTGGAAATATGGCATAAATGCTTCACTTGGTGGGATTTATCGGCAGCAAGCTTATCAACCTGTTGGGAGGCTTTTGTTCAACACGAAAGGCTTGTTCACTCCAAAAGATTAAAGCATGGTTGGGAGGTCATTTGGTTTGCAATATTGTGGACACTATGGGGTGTTTGAAATGAAAGGATATTCAAGAACAAGGCAATCGACATCAACAGAATATTCGACTTAGTCCAAGTTGAGGCATTTCATTGGCTAAAATATAGAGGCAAAGGTAATAATATGCTTCTACGGGATTGGATTACAAATCCTAGATTGTGTCTTTGATTTGTGAACAAGAAAAGGACTCATAGGTGACTAAACTACTATTTTTGTATGGGGGGAATGCATTAAATATGTAAAAAACCTTTATTTTGTGTATGGGCATGAGTACTCCTTGTACTCCATTTATAATATAATAAATATTTGCTTTTCAAAAAAAAAAAAAATTGTTTTCTATGAATCTTGACTTTCAACCTTATGTTTAGTATCTTCCACACGCTTTAGTGCTAAGCAATAATGTCACTGTTAAATAGTCCATATACTTTGTGCAA